TGAAAAGGCCACGAATCCGGGCAGGCGGTTTTTATTTTTCTCGCGGCTTCGCCGCTCGTTCTCGCGCGCTTCGCGCGCGAATTTCGCGGCTACGCCGCTCCTGCGCCCGGCTTGACAAAACCGCCATGCTACGCAGGCTAAAAGTTATTTGATACTCTTTGCACAAAGAAATAACCAATTCATTGCCTTTTTTAATTATTTGATCATCAATCTTTGAAATCTCATCTGTATATATCTATGCTCTTTGTGGGGAACCGGCAGAGACATTTTAATTTAAAACCGATCCTCTTTTTCGGGAGTATCTTTTGTGCACACAATTTTTCTCATCTTATCGTTCTTCAGTTCTGTGTCGTACTTATTAAGTGTTAGTATGAAACAGTATCACACGTTGGAACGATTTTCGTTTGTCCTTGAAAAATGTTTTTCGTAATTGTTCGTTATTTGTCTCATCAGTCAATAGTTACCGAAAAAACAAATCAAAACTTGGACTTGTGGCTTTACCACCAAAGAAAACCCTATGACTGAAAAAGCATCGTTCGATTGTCCAATGGGAAGCCTGATTTCTGTTCCCAAGTTAATCTTTAATTTAGCTTTCTTTCTTCTTAGAAGAAAGCGTCGCGTGCTCTCTAAAAAAATGAATGCAACCGCGCGTATGTGACCATTCGATAAACCAATCAAATTGTTATAGTCTTGGTCGTTTGTCGGTGTGGTGGTTTGGTTTGGTGGGAAATCATTTCGCGGTCAAAGTAAAATGGCTCTGAAAACAATACATTATCCTGCATAACAGGCCCTTTATGAGCCATCGAGGCGAACGCGGCATCTCGCGCGTGACGAGGGGAGGAGGAAAAAAATGCTTTATTTTTTCTCCTCCTATCGTCTCGCGCTTGGCGCGAAATGCCGCGTTCGCCTCGCTTGGCTCTTAAAGCTCCTGTTATGCCGGCTAACAATACGTTGACGTTTTTCTGTCTTTTTTAGTTTTGTCATTTTGCGCGTGAACGAACAATTTCAAGGTTGAACCAAACTTGCTCTATATCAACGTTATTTCATAGAAACCACGGTTCTTTCAATGGAAGAGGGGCATACCTCGCTTAAACCTAATTTGCCAGAACTCTTTAAGATGTCAGAATACGCCAAGATTATTCAGCAGACGACACAACCAATTCTGGAAGAATTCTCTACTAGCCTCCGTTCCGTAGGATTTTCAAAAGAGAAGGAAATAACTTATGCTACTTCCTTTTGTAGTCAAGTATGTTCATTTTCAATCCATTATTAATTATT